TGCGACCAACTTTTCTTTGGATTCTTCTTTAAAGATTCATTTTATCCATCTGAGAATCAAAGACATTTACTTAGCTTTATTTATAGTTGAACTCTATAATTTTATTCCACTGTGCTTCTCATTAATCTCTGAATGACCGTGTTATTTTACTGCTGTAATCTCATCCTTCCTTTCCCAACACCTGCCAGCTGCCTCATTTTCACTTTTTACCCTTTAAAAGGCTCACCTTGTATGGCTTGGCTATTATTATAATAAATATTAATATTAGATTCAAGATGAGAAATGCAGCCACTTCATCTCCCTTGCCCCCTCACGGTATCTCCTGTGCTGATGATACTGGGTCGATTCCAGAGGCCATCCACCAATCTCCATGATGTATGCAAGGCAGCACTTGTTAAAAGTCAGACTGTAAATAATGCTGATCTTGTTGATATTCACTTGGCATTCATGAATATGATTCTGAGTTAGTGAAGTGCTTTGTGGCTGGGCCATTGAAACAGTTGTTATAATCAAGGTCACCAGCACAACTGCCAGATTCAGCTGGTTAAAGCCTTTTCTGAAAAGTGGTGGTCCTCAGGTCTGCTGTGACTGAGCTTAGGCTGGCTGCCCCAGATGTTGTGGCACGGACTGAAGCATTGAATTCATTCAGGTTGTCTTAGTACCTTGGCTTAGCTATTCCCACAGCCCGGTTCACCACAGTATCCTTGAGACTGAAAGGCTGGCACAGGTTTGCCAACTATCCCAGTTGACCTGCCGTTTCATCCCTTAGACCAAGCCAACATACAACAGTTCTTAAAGGACACAACTCACATGTTGACAGCAGAAAGGCAATTTTAGGATGTTTAGTCTTTTAACAGAGGCCACTTTTAACAGAACATGAGACCTAGGGTAACACCCCACAGTAACCTGTAAAGATACAATCTGCACAGAATATAGGACAAGGGTGGACAGAAGTGACAAAGCAGAAGGAAGAAGAGAAATACCCAGAGCTATTAAATACGTTCTCAGAAATGGGCATTTTGTGCAATGGGTTAGAAGATTTCAGACTATCCCTTATCTCTTTCTGATGAAAGCTCAAATAAGTGATTACAGAACAAGCATTAGAAAATCAGCAGAATAGAGGCAGTATTCTTGATTGGCAATTCAAGAAGCAGGGAATATAGCTCTTCAGATGCCGCACTGGGAGTATTTCTCAATGCCACCACTAAGGCTATGAAAGGAATAATTAAAACAATTGCAGGGGAGGGAAGAGGAGTTAAGGAATATCCTCTTATTATCCACATTAGAACAAACAGGCACAAATTACAAGCCAAAGACTCCAAGATTAGTTTACAGATCCAGAGAGAGCTTAAGATGGGTGCAAAACAGATGATCCACCCGGGAAAAAAATTCCAATGCATTAAGGGAAGAAATAACACGGAAAAAAATAATTGAGGTTCCTAAGGAAGCAAACGCTGTCTATGGTGCCACAGAAGTCAATTAGATAGTTTTCAGCTACAGTGAAGGACCAGCCTCTTGGGGTTTAAAAAGAGAAAGAATCTCATGGGGCACAGGCAGAAGCAGAAGTGTTGTGTTTGTTCCTCACTTTCTGGCACCTTTGTTCATGTTGAAAAACTAAAAGTTAAAACATGTTACAAGAAAAAAGTAATTATAATGTTTTCCAAGAGACAATAACCTTGTATGAAATGCCTCCCAATGAGAAATACGATACAGTCATTGAAACATTTTATGCCATCACATTACATGTGATCACATCACAGTGCAGTAACAGAGCAGTGAAGAATGAGTTTCACCCAGAGAAATGCTGAACAACAGGAGCTTTTCTGGATTATTTTAGTTGAGTGTACACATCCATGTCACACCATCACTTCTTACTTAAAAACAGCTGCAGAAGGCTCCTGCTGCGGCTGCTGCCGTTAGCTGAAGCTCTGATCTTCCTGTCTTGATACAAGTCATCAAGTTGCATTTCCTGCTGGAATTAAAGTGGCAGCCCCTAGGGACTATGCAGCTGCCCAATTTATATCAGAGAGGATCTGAAGCAAGCAGCAGTCTTTTTTCCAAACGTTTTATTTTTTTTTAAATTTATTTTTATAACCCCCATATTCTATTAAGAGTTTTCCCCTCCCCACTTTCCAGGCATTTGTGTTTTGAAACAATTAAAAGAAAACATAGACATCAAGGCCTGTGCACAAAAGCTAGAAGCAGGGAAAAAGTATGGGTAAACTCACTGGCATCAAATCAAATGCTCCCTGCCTATAACATAAAACTGAGAGATCAAACAAAAAGTGTCAAGGACATCAGTTACTACATCATTAACAGTTAGATAGTATAGTTGTTGTGTAAATACTATGAGGGGTATTTATAAAACAACAAAAGCTGCAGATCATGGCACAAAAGTATTTTGGGTCAGAGCAGAAAGAGGAGAGCAACAGGGAAACTGTCCTGGACAAGGGCTCAAACCACCCAGTGCCAGGCAGAGACAACTACAGGGTCATCACTACACATGTTAGAAGCCAGAAATACAAACTACTGTCTTTTCTGTTCTGTACTTCTACAGTGCTTAACATAGCAAGAACCAGGTCAACAAAGAGTGTTCCTAACAACTATGATAGGTTATGACAAATAAGAGTTTGGAGAAGATCGTGTGGCATCCCATTAAGTAGTCTCTGCAGTTAAACACAGATATCCATAGCTCAAAGAAAGTCTTCAAGTTACCAGACACTCAACACCCTCTAACCATCAAGCAGGGTAAAAAACAATCTCTCTCTCATGTACAGGATTCTTAAAAGTGTCTGTCATAAAGGATATTGAAAACAAGGCAAAGTTGCTCTATTTCAACACCAAATACCACAGAACTCTAGAAAAGTATTAATCTCTTTTTAAAAAAAAAAAAAGGAATAAAAAGGAAATCAAACTAGAGTATGATAAATTGTGCTTTAGAAGGGCTCTCATCTAGGTTCCACTTCTAAAATTACTTGAGAGCACATTATAATTAGCAAAGGTATGTGACAGTTTTATACCCCTCTATGATGCATGATTAAAGCCAGGCAGCCCAGCTCCGCCACAAGTTCTGCATGCCGTCAAAACAGATGTGACAAGAGCTACAAGCTGCTCCCAGACAGACTGTGAGAAAGCATAGGCAGATAACATTTTGGCCATCAAAGAGGTAAGACACAATACAAAACTAATTAAACCTTAAAACCCCTTGGAGAGGTAAGCTATGTTTTATATGAAGTTACATGAAGCATCTTGTGCTTGAGCTGTAGCTCTCCAAGAACAAGGATGAGAGAACAAGCTCCTACCTTCCCCTCTGAGATGCAACAGGGAGCAAAGTTTACAGCCTAAAGATTAACAGCTCACAGCCTTTGCATGAGAAAGTGGGGCAAAATAACTGGAGAAATCACTGCTGTAATGCTGCTGTGATGATCTGTGACACTGCTGACTCCTCCAACCCGAGACAGATACCTGCTATCTCTCTGCAACAGAAAAATATGGAGTCCTGGCTCATTGTGAAAAGCCAAATCTAAACTCCACGCAAATTCTGCCTCTTACATTTATATTTGCATGTCTTTGCTGAGCACTCATAAAAGTAATTATGGGCTCAACTCCTTAACACTAACAGAAGACAAACTACATACAGTAAGGAAGCTGTGCATCTGCTAAGGACTGACTATGTGTCTTGGGCTCAGGTTAGAGGGAACAAAGATGTTGGAAATAAACATGAAAGGAACAAGGAGAATTTCAGGCTTTGAAAACACACATTCATTTTGGATAAATATTTTGTAGCTGGTCTGTAAGCAGATACACTGAGAAGTGTATCCAAGCCATCACTTTCATTCTCATTTATCTTCAGATTTTTGTATTTAGACTACATCTTAGTGCTTCTTCCTTTATGACATCCTTCTGCATACAGCATCTTTCCCTCTGTTTCCAGGTAGCCTCCCCCCATTGCTTCCTCTGCAAAGCTTCAGAGCCCACATCCCTAACATAACCCAATGGCTCCAGGCAGTTTTCCTGATATATTCCTTCAGGATAAGCAATTAAACTCTCTGCTGAAGTTTAGGAGAAGTTCAGAATGTGGAATTAATGAAATCTATCAAAGACAAACCTTCCACTGCTTCTACAAGTTTGAGCTGGTTATGGTGAATAAAACATATAAGCATCTATGGTTATGCCTATGCATCAGCCGAAGACTCTGCACAACAAGGGAATCTTAGCGATCAGGACTGCTAAACACCTCTTTTAAGCTACTGCAACTGTTGCCAAGCTGTCTTCATCTCCACAAATATGCTTTGCTATTAACATGGTTCACAGGAGAACAAATAAAACATACTGCAACAAGCCTTTTATCACTGGGAGCATATTGCACTGCATGAGTGGCAATTCTCTGAAGAATGATGTTCTACAGATATCTTAGTTTGGGAGTGTATTTTGGTGGACAGTAACAAAGTGTCTCTGGATGCTGAAACATCCAGAGAAGGTGTCAAACCACTTTCCAACATCCTGCAACTGAACTGATTCCAATACTCCTCTTATTTCTAAGAAAATAATTGCAATTGTCCCTCTGCAAAGGAGCAGGATCTTTCATGCAAATGAGGTGTCTGCAGAGCAGCAAGTCTTATTCTATGCAATATATGTAAAATGTTGAAAACTTGTGATTATTTACAGACTTAAGTGTGATATCACTGACTTGACCAAAAAGAGTGCAGAACATAACAGCAGATGTGAACGTTCACTGTGTGCACCAGTCCTACAGCACAGCATCAAACACGTTTGCACCAGATCTGGACAAAGAAGTTTGCTTGACAACCGGTCTGTAAAATTAAAACCTCGACCCAAGAAGAGCTGGAATTCCCTTCCACTTGGTGAAGCATCTGGCCTGATTGCTGGTGGCTGCCGATCACTGCCATGTCATCACTCTGAAGCCGTGAAACATCCCTGCAACAGTGTTAATTAGCTCCCCTTGCAAAGAGCTTAAGCCACAGAGCGAGGCTACTCACGTGATGTCTCTGCGCTGATAGCAACCTTGAAGCAGGCAGGCGATCAGGTCGCTGATAAACTCCACATCATCCCTGTGAAGAGCAGCTTCCAGTTCCTAATGTGCAGAAAAGAGAGAAAAAAAACAATTCCAACCATCAAACTAATTCCTTAAAATTTACTGCTAGCTGATCAGGACCAAAAAGACCCAAGCAGCCCCAAGTACATGTACAGCAGCAGAGCATATCCTAGGTAAGCCAACCTTACCCATCATTAAAAATACTGCTACTACTACCTCTCCATTGCAAGAGTTTATGAGAAGACCTTGAAAGGCTTTTACTGAATGTCACTCTCCAGCCATAAGACTAATGCTTTTGTCTGGACACTCTAAAATAGGGTTCAGTGAGGTTGAGATACTATAGCCTAATAAGAAAGCCATGATTTCTCCTATGTTCAGTTGATGGGCAGGAATCAACAGTTTCATTCTCCGGCTTTGCTTTCCATTTGCTAAGGCCGGTGAGTTCATTTAAAAGATGTGCTCAGAAAGCGTGGCCCTAAAAGCCACTTACGCAGAGAAGTAGCAGTTTCAGATGGGTAGCCAGAAATGGCTAAAAGCCAGCAAGAAAAAGCCTCAAAATAAACCAGGCATTTTGATTATTTCACTTATTTTTCTTCGTTTTGGTTTGGTTTTCCTCTACTAAGAGAGAAAGAAAGGGATAGCAGGGTTATCAGATCTTATGACCCAACACCTCAACCCTTGATGAAGGGGTGGGAAGTATCACAGCTTACTTCAGCACAATGCAGTTCACATCAATGTGTGATGCAGGAACTGATCCACGAAAAGGATAAACTTTTGAAATGTAGTTATTACAAATTTCACATGTTCTGAGCAATAACTGTTTTTCAGCTAGCAATGTCAAGCTGCTTTCAAAATATTACTAGGCTAAATTACGGTTCTATATATATGCCAGAAAATCATTCACAGTAAGAAAAATCCACTTCCTATAACGCTTATTATGAGTAGTAAACAGCACTTAACAAGATTTAATATGGCTAAACAGCATAAGCCTAAGAAGCTATTCTTTTTAGCTTGCAGAGTAAATAATGGATTGAATACAAATTCCTGCCTGAATGTTACTCAACAGACTGTTACACAAATGGCTACACTAATGGCTACAGAATAAAGGTTAATGGCCAGAGAATAAAGGATAAACGTCTTGGCACATACCCAGTAAAGAAGAGAAAGTGCTTCTTTATTAGACCACAGTAACTGCAGTAATAAAATTATTGATAACAGATTGCAGATTAAATGCCGCTTGTAGTTATTTATTGGAAATATATTAATGGCATATTTTCATTATCAACACTGCTGTTACTTACCTCCTGTGCAGCATCCAAAGTGCTTCACAAGTAGAAGCTTGACACCTGCACTGTGAAGTACCTTATATATATATGTGTGTGTGTGTGTGTATATATACACACACACATATATATATAAAACTACATATATATAACATAGCAAGAACCAGGTCAACGTGTATATATACACGTGGAAACTCAAGGCAAGGAAAGGGCAATGGGCAGCCAAAGCCTAACAGCACTCCTGCTGCGGAGCTAACACCACAAAAAGGAGAACCTGCAGATGAAGCACTCCATAGACAGATAAGAAAAGCCTCACGCTCGCAGGCCCTTTTTCTCATGGGTGACTTCAACCACCCTGACCTCTGTTGGAAGGACGGTACGGCCCGGCACAAGCAATCCAGGAGGTTCCTCGATTGTGTGGAAGACAACTTCCTTCTGCAAGTAACAGAGGAGCCGACAAGGAGAGGTGCCGAGCTTGACCTCGTGTTCACCAACAGGGAAGGGCTGGTTGGAAATGTGACTCTCCAGGGCAGCCTTGGATACACCGATCATGAGATGCTCGAATTTGAGATCCTCAGGACAGTGAGAAGAGCGTGCAGCAAGCTCACTGCCCTGGACTTCAGGAGAGCAGACTTTGGCCTCTTCAGGAACCTGCTTAGGAAGGTTCCATGGGATACAGCCCTAGAGGGCAGAGGGGCCCAAGACTCTTGGTTGATATTCAAGGATCACCTGCTACAAGCTCAGGAGTGTTGCATCCCAACCAGAATGAAGTGCAGCAGGAGGGCCAGGAGACCTCCTTGGATGGATAATGAGCTCCTGAGGAAAATTCAAATGAAAAAAGAGGCTTATAATAAGCGGAAGCAAGGACAGGCGGCCTGGGAAGAGTACAGGGATGTTGTCCGGGAAGCTAGGGACCAGGTTAGGAAAGCTAAGGACCAGTTAGAATTAAACTTAGCTAGAGGTATTAAAGATAACAGGAAGGAATTCTACAAGTACACAGAAAATAAAAAACAGACTAGGGAGAATGTAGGCCCCCTCAGGAAGCTCTCAGGAGAACTGGCTACACAGGATTTGGAGAAGGCTGAGGTTCTGAATGACTTCTTTGCCTCGGTCTTCACTGGTAAAGGCTCTGACCAAACCACCCAAGTCTTGGAAGGCAGATGCAGGGGCTGTGAGAATGAAGACCCTGCGCCCACTGTAGGACAGGAACTGGTTTGAGACCATGTTAAAAATCTGAACGTGCACAAGTCCATGGGTCCTGATGAGATCCATCCGCGGGTCCTGAAGGAGATGGCAAATGAAGTTGCGAAGCCCCTGGCCATCATATTTGAGAAATCATGGCGGTCAGGTGAAGTTCCCAATGACTGGAAAAAGGGAAATATAACCCCCATTTTCAAGAAGGGGAAAATGGATGACCCAGGGAATTACAGACCAGTCAGTCTCACCTCTGTGCCTGGCAAAATCTGGTAGCAGATTCTCCTGGAAGGCATGCTAAGGCACATGAAAATCAACAAGGTGCTTGGTGACAGCCAGCATGGCTTCACTAAGGGGAAATCCTGCCTGACCAATTTGGTGGCCTTCTATGATGGGGCTATGGAACTGATGGACAGGGGTAGAGCAGTTGATGTCATCTACCTGGACTTGTGTAAAGCGTTCGACACTGTCCCACACGACATCCTTGTCTCTAAATTGGAGAGACATCAATTTGATGGATGGACCACTCGGTGGATAAAGAACTGGCTGGATGGCTGCACACAAAGAGTTGCGGTCAATGGCCCAATGTCCAGCTGGAGACCAGTAACGAGTGGTGTCCCTCAGGGATCTGTGTTGGGATTAGTCTCGTTCAACATCTTCGTCACTGACATGGACAGAGGGATTGAGTGCGCCCTCAGCAAGTTTGCCGATGACACCAAGCTGTGTGGGTCAGTTGATACCCTGGAGGGAAGGAATGCCATCCAGAGGGACCTCAACACGCTTGTGAGGTGGGCTGATGCCAACCTCATGAAGTTTAACCATGACAAGTGCAAGGTCCTACACCTGGGTCAGAGCAACCCCAGGCACAGCTACAGGTTGGGCAGAGAAAAGATTCAGAGCAGCCCTGCAGAGAAGGACTTGGGGGTGTTGGTCGATGAGAAAATGAACATGAGCCGGCTTCAGTGTGCTCTTGCAGCCCAGAAAGCCAACCGTATCCTGGGCTGCATCAAAAGGAGCATGGCCAGCAGGTCGAAGGAGGTGATCCTGCCCCTTTACTCTGCTCTCCTGAGACCTCACCTGGAGTATTGTGTCCAGTTCTGGTGTCCTCAACATAAAAAGGACATGGAACTGTTGGAACAAGTCCAGAGGAGGGCCACGAGGATGATCAAGGGACTGGAACATCTCCCTTATGACGACAGGCTGAGGAAGTTGGGGCTGTTCAGCCTGGAGAAGAGAAGGCTGTGTGGAGACCTCATAGCAGCCTTCCAGTATCTGAAGGGGGCCTATAGGGATGCTGGAGAGGGACTCTTCATTAGAGACTGGAGTGATAGGACAAGGGGTAATGGGTTGAAACTTAAACAGGGGAAGTTTAGGTTGGATATAAGGAAGAAGTTCTTTCCTGTTAGGGTGGTGAGGTACTGGAACGGATTGCCCAGGGAGGTTGTGAATGCTCCATCCTTGGCAGTGTTCAAGACCAGGTTGGACGAGACCCTGGGTGATATGATTTAGCGTAAGGTGTCCCTGCCCACGGCAGGGGGGTTGGAACTAGATGATCTTAAGGTCCTTTACAACCCTAACTATTCTATGATTCTATGATTCTATGAAATCTCTGTCCTGGCCTTTAGATGACTACCCTGCTTAACGACTAACACAAAAACTGCTGTTGCTGCTAGCCATTCCTTGGATAGAGTCATATTATTGTTGTATAAATATTAATCATACTTTATAACTAGCAATTACTGAGTAAATTCACTCAGCACTGAGTATTTTAGAGGTGTTGACTTATTTTATTTGGAAATTACTTTAGTGGGCATCTGCCTTTTAACAAAATACACCTGAGGAGGGGGGAACCAAAACCCAAAGTATGCAATGTGCTAAAACATCCCAGATGTGTTACCACAGTAAACTCACAGCTTGTGAAAAATGACACGTTAAGACCCAAAGTAAAGGGTGGGGGAAAGTAAGGCTCCAGGATGCTCCCGCTCTCCCCCCCCCCTTCAGCCTTATCCACATACACTTGTGCACTAAAGCTGTCAGTCAGCAGCCTGTCTTTGCTAGGATGGGACAGCCTTTTGTATGAAGAAATATTTAAATTGCTTCCCGTGAGCCTTTTCAGCCAGCTGTTTGACTTAACACTCCTTAAGCAGCGGCCACAACCAGCTCAGATAGCCCCTATCTGCAGCCATTGTTTTCCAGGCCCAGGAGTGACCTTTACATTTTTGGAGCCACTGGGTCATCCTGGGGGACATTCCTCGGGCACCAGGAAAGGTGCTGTTTCCTGGGCAGGGACCACCAGCCTTCTCCAAAACACCTGGATGTGTATTTTCCCCCCCCTGCCCCTCACTTGCTGCCTTTTGTCTCCCAGGTGGGTGCTCCTTGTCCTTGCATTCAGCATGTGTAGCACTGATTTGCGTACCCAACCTGGTGGATCTTGCAGCCACTGGCTAACAGGGGCACCGGGCACACAGACCAGTGCGGGGCTGGGTGCAGAGTCAGGTTAAGGGGATGCTTGCACAAGTCAGGATTAATCCACAGAGACACATCGCTAGGCTAATGAAGCAT